AAGGTATTTAAAGATCTCAGACGCTATAGTTTCTTATGTAAATATAAACTCCTATTTCTCTTACTGAAAAGCACAATGACTATATCAATATGCATTTGCCTCAAGGAAGACTTTGCTCTTGTAATCTCTTCAGATGATTAAAATGTCAGGACTTTCTACTTCCATGTGCTGGATTGCTGTTTCATTTATTGGTCTGTTTGCACACTGACAGCTGACATTCCTGTCAAAGAAATTGGCTTTAGTTCACTCACACTGCACTCGTTTGTAGATAACACAAGAGAATTAAGTTTAAACTTTAAGGATGAAATTCCCATCCAAGCAGAGAGGGCAGTAGAAGCGCCTGAGAAGTCCAGTTGTAGGCAGGTCGTTGGCAGTGCTTGTGTCCCATGTCTGCTTCACAGATTGGACAAAATGGGCCTGCCTGTTTCAAGTCAAAAGAAATCTATTCTGTGAATGACACAGATCGTTGACAGTTAAAATAATCCTCCTTGGATTTACAGCACACCAGACTGTGCCCTGGGTCAGATGTAGCTTGTGCAGGTGCAGTATGTCATGTTGGATTGTTTTCACAGGATTGAAAATGTATCTTTGATGGCCCTTTTGCTCAGCAAAAAGCAGATTGTGGCCATGGGAGCTTAGGCTTCTAGCCCCACAGTACTCTAATGGTAGTAAAGATTGTAGGGAAATGTTAATTTAAAAACCTCATTTTGTATTTCCGTGTGCACAGCTTCTCACGGGGGAGAGAGAGGGTGAGGATGAAGGATGTTGCAGGAGGATATAATAATGGCTGGAGTTGGGAGATCTGGCTTTGGAGAGGACTCAAGTACAAGCACATTCCCTTGAGCTGGAGGAACACACCAACATATCTTGTCCCCAGCTGAACTCGCTATCAGATTAAGCAAAGCCAAAGATGCTGGATCTGCATCCTCTGGTTACCTTGGCAACCCTCTGCTATAATCTCTTCACCAAGTGCCAGCTCTCTATTGCATTGCACACAGTTGCAGATACTTTTGCTTCCTGCTTCATTAGAATTATTGCTTAAGCATGTTTGTAATTATGAAGGTTTACACCACAGGGTCAGACACTTGTCTAGTATTAGGGACAAATTCTCCTCTTAAAGGATGATGTTTTCTGAAACGTGCCTCCTTGATGCTGATGTGCGTATTATATGGAGTCTTCTCCCTGGGAAGCCTTGGAGCACTATGGGTCCCCCAGCCATTTCCATTTTTATCCCTTTACTTCCTCTTCCCAGCATCACAGTCCTTTCAGTTTCTTTCGCTTAGAAGCTGGGTATGACAGTATGTGTGTTTCCCTAGAACCAATTAATGCTGCAGCTGATACAACCAGAGACAATATTCCTAGGAGTGGAGGAGTCTTTTTACCTATGTCTTCAGTGCAGTGTTTTTGCCAAGCCCAGAAATACACAATGTGTCCCACTAGAAGCAGCCCTTCCTGCTGCCCTCCTGGAGCTGTTGCCATTTTATATATACGTATGTGCGCGCGCACACACACACACGCGCGCGCACACACACACACACACACACACACACACTTGCCACACCCAATAAGGTTCTTGAATAATTGGGAAGGCAAGCATCTTACCAAGTGTGACTTCACACATGGCATAGGCAGGTGCAGAAGTTATACTGAGTTTTGCCTCTGTGGTGGCCCACTGTATTTTGGGTTGTCCAGGGCTGTTGAGGTCTGCGAGTTTCTTTTTAGTTATGCTGGAGGAGACCTTTTTGAAATGAATAAATAATTCAAATCACTTTCTTTGGCTCATTTGTGAAAAGCTTGCGGGTAGTAGTGAGGATATGCAGTGTTTTCTTTGCTTCTACAAGTTCATAAATAAATTTAAGAGGAAACAGCCTTAAGATCCCCTGAGCCTCAACACTGGTAGATGTGGGGAAGAGGGGAAGAGAGAAATCTGGAAGTTTGTGTTGAGAATGGCAGTCACTGACATACTTGATTTCATCCCCAGACTTTTGCTTCTTATGGCTGCTGCAAAGAATAGCATGAGTTTGTGCTCTTCCAACGAGCTGCTCTTTTAGCAGGGAACACAAATGGAAGGTTGCCGCTGAGGATTGTAAACGACATCTTCCTAGAAATAAAAGTCTTCCATCATTTTAAATAACCACACATAATGGATCTGGAGAAAGCTTGCTGCAGTTGCCATAAAAACCCTTCCATTCAAACAAGACCATTCAAGTACAGTAATCTGCTCCAAGTCTTTATTGGGATAAGATAAGAAATCCAGTATGTAGCCAGTCAGTTGACTGACTTCACAGCTTCTGACTCCAGGGGGTTAGGAAGTAAGGCTCTCCAAACCAGGGCAACCTCTAGTCCTACAGATGCATTGAGTAGCTGGGCAATCAGTAGCACTCAAAGAAGACTTTTTTGCTGCTGCTGTTCTGTTATCCTCTTTTTGGCACTGGAGAGGCCACTGCAGGAACAGTCCTGGGCTCCCCAATTCCAAAAGGATGTTAGAAACATTGGGGAAGTTTTAAGGAAGAGCCAGAAGAATGAGAACAGGATTGGAAAACGTACTTCCTGATGAAAGATACAAGGAGCTCGGTTGATTTAGTTTGACTCAGAGAAAGTCAACCAAAATAGTCTATATCTATCTGCATAGGGAAAAGTAATCTGATGTTAAAGGGCTCGTCATGCCAGTAGACAAAATACAATGATGTCCAAAGACAGAAAGTTAAAGAAGTTCAGCAAAGGAATAAGGTGCTGATTTTTAACAGTGAGAGTGATTAACCATTGAAACATCTTACAAAGTATTGTGATGGTTGAACATTTGAACTGTGAGGGCAAATGTGGTATAGCATCAGATGATGTAGTAAATGTGATGTGAGCATGCTCTGGAAGGCAGAGAGAAGGACCTCATCTTTCTTGGCTCTGGTCTGAGTTAGGAGTAGCTTCTTTGAAGTCAGTGAAGTTACCCCAGTGCAGGGCTGGTGGAGGTCAGTTACTCACACAGGCAAGAAATAAAAGAAATGGGGCATGGCAGAGAGAAAGGTATTCCAAGTACCTGGCTGGTTTCTGGTAATCCAGCCTGCAAGGACAGAAAGGAAAGAAAAAACAGACCTGTCAACCATGCAGTCTCAAATCAGTGTCCAGTGTGACACGTCCTAGGGGCCAACCGTGCATACTGCCAAGAGGGAGGATATCACCCAACAGCACTTGGTCACGATTGAGAGTTCAGCAAACTCAAGGATTAACTGACAGATTCCTTCATTTCTTTCAATCTCCAGGAAGCATCTACTGAACCACTAGAAGCAGCAGATGTACACCAAAAAAACAACCCAAGTGACCTGCAGAATATTTCCTGGGTGCAGAGCCCAGCAGCGAAAGCACGCTGAGCTACCACGGAGAATCACTAACAAGGTGTCATTCCATGCAGATTTAAAGTCAGCTAAAAAAGTAACACTGATCAGGCTTCATTTGCAGTAGTCTCTGTGGATTGCAGTGCATATAAAACCAATAAATAAATAGCCAGAGTAACATGTAGCCCTCGCTTAGCTCTTTGTTTTACAAACTGATGGTTGACACCAAAGTGCTTTGGCTGCTTCACCTCCCTGAAGCAGGTTAATATTCTTCTCATTTTACAGAAAGGAAAACTGAGGCAGGAGTAACTAATTTTTGAAAACCATAGTGGGAGTCGGCATCAGGATTAAAACCTAGAGGGTAGCTGATTCCCAGTGCTATGACTGACCAGGCCCAGTCTCTCTTGAGAACTGGCACATCCTCATCTGCACAGAAAAGACACCTAAGAGGGGACATGAGAGCAGTCTTCAAATACTTGAAGGGCTGCCATAAAGAAGAGGGCAAGCGCCTTTTCTCTCCTGCTGCAGAGAAGGATACAGACCTGTAGCTTGAAGTTGCAGCAAAGTAAGTTTATATCGGATCTGGAAAAACGACTTCACTGTGAGAATAGTGAGGCAGTGGAATAGACGCCCAGGGGAGTTGTGGACTCTCCACCACTAGAAGTGTTCAAGAAGAGGTTGGACAGCTGCTGGTCGGGGGTGATCTAGGCAGAGCTGGGCCTGTTTTCTACCCTGAGTATTTCCCATACTTCTGGGCTTTGTTGATTGCTCCTGCCCAAACTCCCTCACCCCTCTTTCTTTTCTGCTCTGTGTCAGGGTATTTGTAAGCCTCCCCAGAAGCATTGGGTTTTGGCTTCAACTAAGGCTGGGGACTTTAACTGGGGTGTGCAGATTCTCCTGGCTAAAGAGTCTTGCCTCTCTGCTCAGGGTCAGATCAGTCACTATAATTGTGGTCAGGAAGGAATTTTACCCCATGGTCAGATTGGTACAGACTGGCAGGGGTTGCTTTCCTCTGCAGTGGGGGTGTGGTTTTCTACCCAGGACCTCTTGTGCACATGTTGACAATGGTTTTGATAGAAGCAGGACACTGGATGCCTTGTTCCCCTGCTTTACCTGTGGGAGGTTCAGGTGTTAAGTCTGTGCTTTGTCAGGGTTGAGGGTAGTTTTATGTAGAGTTTAGATTATGGTTGTATGGGACGGTTTGGATAGGGATGATCCTGCCTCAGACAGGGGGCTGGGCTAGATAACCTCTGGAGGTCCCTTCCAGCCCAACATATCTGTGACTTCTGTGACAACCACTGGAAGCTGACATTACTGGAATGCACTATGGGACGCAGCAGTCTCTTGTCTGTCCTGTCTGCACTTCACAGTCAGTGCACATGTCTGCTGCGCTGCAGTGCTCCCAATGGTGCTCATTCTTACAGTTACTGACTGCTAGGGCTGGTCGTGTGGCTGAAGCCCTGGAGTGGGATTCGAGACACCTGAGTTCAGATCCTGTTCTACCAAACACTTCCTTTGTGACCTCAGAGAGGCACCAAAGCCCTGGGTGTCTTCCCACTGCCAGCAGTGTACTTTGAACCAGATCCTACATCTCGCTGTGCCATGGGTCCTCATTCATAAAATGGGGGTGATAACTCTTATCTGGAGGCTGGTGTAAAAATGATGGTATCCCTGCACTTCATGCTTTTGACATGATGAGTGTTAGAGAAGCCTAGAAGTATATACTATGATGGGAGTGCTGTAGCTAATGTAAAGGCTAAACAGAAGCAGGTTCACACCCCTTCTGATCCAGCAGCTCATTTCAGTCCACTAACTGGATTTGGACCCATTTGTTC